ACTCTGCTCCAGGCTCTTCCTCTGAACCTCTGTGCAACTGGGTTTTATGTAAGCCTACTTCTTGTCAATTTCAAATCATGGTCCTCCCACCAGGGCCGCATACTGACCAATCCCCTCAATAGACTGTAAATCACTCAGTTTGCATAGTTCGCTGCCCGATACTTCAGTGGATTCTAAATCACTTACTTTCCATAGTTCCAGCAAATCACTTTGTGGCAGTTATAAGACCATGGCTAGAAAGGCCATATAAAAGCAATATTTTGCATTGTAGGAGAAAAGAAGGGCATGAAGCTGGGTGTGTGTATGCGGACCACCTGAGAAGGGAGTGCTCAGCCCTTGGGGCAGGGCAGCCATGGAGGGTGGGGAGGTACAGGGGCTGGTCTGAGGGTGGCAGCATGAACATAGGCAAACTGTAAACCAGATGGAGGAAGGCTGCTCTGTCCTAGCAAACAGTGGCTACAAAGGCAAAGAGTGTTGTTGTTGTTATGTGCTGTCGAGTCGGACCCAACTCATAACGACCCCTCCTTGGGTTTCCAAGGCAGTATACTACGGAAGTAAGATTGCCCCATCTTCCTTCCGAGGAGTGGCTGGTGGGTTTGAACCGCCAGCCTCCTGGTTAGCAGTCAAGTGCCTTAGGCACTGTCCTACCAGAGCTCCCATCTCTAATAAAATACTCCTCTTAGTGAGCTCTCCTGGCTCTGGGTACCACCACCCTGCTCTTTCTCCTTCACCATAGCAAAGGGCCAGCTTCCTGTCCCCCAGTGCCATCTGGTGCCTGGATGGGGGACAGCTCCCAGAGTCCCTGGGGTCACACATGACAACTTATCCATGGGGCCACGGAGGAGATACACTTTTCTATCCTTGAGCACCCAGTGGGGCTCCCCCAGGGTTCCTCCCATGGAAGAGAGACAGGGCAGGGTAATTCTTGTGCCCATTTCACAGATGGAGCCCTGAGAGCTCAGAAAGGGACGGGGCCTTGCCAGGTCTCCCCTATGAAACTTTGCTCAGACCCAAATCCTAATCTTCCTCGCCCTGGGCTGCCTGCTGGGCTTTCCAGCACCATGGCTGCCCCTCAGAGCTAGATGAGCAGACCTGGGTGGGGGGACCACTGGGTGCTCTGCAGAGGCAGGGGCATGAGAAGTAGCAGCAAGGGGCCTGGGCAAATCCCCACCACTGAGTCCTGGTGAATACCCCTTGTGGTCAGTATGCTGTTCTTTAGTGTCTGAACCTGTGGCCCCACGTGATGGGCATAGAAACCTCTCTGTCTTCTTCAATGCAGTGTGACATCTCAAAACCCACTAAACATGGCACGTGCATGTGACTAGACCTATCCCCTTGCTGTTGTGCTGTGTCCAGATTCATGGTCCCAGGCGGGGCCCCCTCAGCAACCCCCTTAGGACCGTGAAGCTCAATGTGACTCCCAGTAAGCCCGTCTGCTGGATGGTAAGCCAGGGATGCACCTGGAGCCTGGCATGATGGTCCTACCTATGGGAGAAACAGGGCAGAGGGGAAGTCACATGGGTTGGGTGGGCTCTGCTCACTATCCCCAGTGCTCAGAGGCAGGTTCTCCCTGGCCACACCCCCAGGACAAGCCCATTCTTGCAGACCCCAAGGCAGGTGAGGTGCTGGCTGCTCTGCCCAGATGCCCAGGAGGTAGGCTCTGCACCTGTTCTCAGGCAGGGTGAGGGGATCAGGTAGAACCCTTTGAAGTCCAGCCTGGAGAGGCTCTCACAAGCCCTCTTGTACCCATGCCTTGAGAGCCTAGGGAGATCATCTTGTGCCTGCTGTTTCCAGGTACCTCACACTCTTGCCCACAGGGCAGCAGAGGAGTTCTCTGTGAAGGGGAGGTGAACCAGTCTCCCTCCATCGTCCCCTCAGCCCTTGATGGGCTCTGGGGTATGCTCTAGGAACTCCAACAGCAGGCTAGGTGCCTCAGAGCACATGGCAGGGCCTAGGGCAAGGTTGGTGTGCCAGGACCCCCAATGCTTCCTGCCCACACCCATAGGAACCCTACTGATCTCCCAGTTCCCAGAGTCACTCTTCTGGGTGGGGAATGGCACCTCTAGGACCCCAATCCACCACTCCTGAGAGGTTCATCCTCAGAGAGTATATCATCTACCCCTCATCCTGGACAAATGGGGAAACTGAGGTATGGAGAAGGGCAGGACTTCTCCAAGTCCCTCAGTGCAACTCAGCCAGATTGGGGCACCTCACAGCAGGCTCAGCCCCTCCTCCACTTTGCCCCATACCCCCTCCTCACCTTGTTGTTGTTGTTGTTATGTGCTGTTGAGTCAGACCCGACTCAGCGACCTCTCCTTGGGTTTCCGAGGCGGAAGCATTTTTCCCAGAACCTGATGCCTGTTTGTTTCCCAGGACTTTCCTTGTTGTTTATGCACCACCCCATCCCAGGCCCCAGGAGCCCTGGTGGCACACTGGTTAAATGACAGGTTGCCCACCAGCCGCTTTGCTTGGGACAGGTGTGGCAGTCTGCTTCCATAAAGATTCACTCAACTCTAACAAACCAAACTCACTGCCATTGAGTCAATTCCACTCATAGTGACCTCTCCTTGGCTTTCCAAGGGGGTATCTCTACAGTAGATTGCCCAATATTCCTTCCAAGGAGTGGCCGGTGGGTTTGAACCACCAGCCTTCTGGTTAGCAGTCAAATGCCTTAGACATATGAGTCAGAATCATTTCGATGGCAATGGGTTCAACGCAGGCCTCAGACGCCACCCCTGGTGGCTGCCGGGAAAATGAAGGAGAGTGTTTCCATACTTGACTGCTAACCAGAAGGCTGGCAGTTCAAACCCACCAGCCACTCCTCGGAAGGAAGATGGGGCAATCTACTTCCGTAGTGATACTGCCTCAGAAACCCAAGGAGGGGTTGCTATGAGTCAGGTCTGACTCGATGGCACATAATAACAACAACAACAGGGTGAGGCAGGAGAGGCCGATGAGCCTGGGTACAGTGAGACCCTCCACTTCCTCTGCCCTGGCACAGCACAGGGAGACTCATGGTGGGAGTCTCCGACATTTCTTCTCTTCCTTGTTCCTGTCCCCCATACCTCTCCACCCTGGGTTTAGGGCCCATCCCTGCCACATGGCTGGTGGCTGGGAGGAGGGGTGTGTGTGTGGAGGGGGGGGGGTTGGACAGAAGAACCTACATCCTGTGTTCCTAGCCATTGTCACGGAGCAGGGGTCTGTGCTCTGTGGGGCTGAGGGGCTAAGCCGAGGAGGCAGCAGCATGTTTCCACCTCCTTGTTACCATCTTTTGTAGGTCTTGGGGCCCTGTGGAATAGAGTGGGTCGGGAGTGGGTAGTTCCCCTCGTAACCTTCCTCAAACCAGGACAGGCATGTGCTTCTTCCTGTCCAGCCCTGATGCCCAGGGTCCTGGAGCTGGCCTCCTTACCTGGGGTGGAACGCCTTGGGGCGGAATGCCTTGGGGCACACAGACAACCCCCTTCCCCAGATTTGGTTCAAGCTTTGGCTTGAGCTCTTTGCTTGTGAAAACCTGGGGGGTTCTCAAGTGCTGTGAGTGGGTTGCCCTCATCTGTAAATCTGGGATGACACTATAAGGTGTCACAGAATTGCAGTGTGGAATAAACAACGTATGTTTACAAGGCAACTGATGAACAGTGGATTATTGTGAGCTGCTGTTTTCTCCTTAAGGACCTCTGGTGCGGTACAGGTTAAAGCATTTGGCTCCTGTACAAAAGGTCTGTGGTTCCAACCCACTAGCCCGTCTGTGGGATCACTTCTGTAAGGATTTACAACCTTGGAAACCCAATGAGAGCAATTCTTGTTGCTGTTCTTGTTAGGTGCCGTCCAGTCGGCTCCGACTCATAGTGACCCTATGTACAACAGAGAGCAATTCTACTCTGTCCTAAAGGGTCTCTAGGTGTCGGAATTGACTGGATGGCAGTGGGGTTTTTTGGTGGTTCTCGCCTTCGGGTCAGTTTTACCTCCAATTTGGGCTTAAAACCTGGCATTTAACTGCATGAAGTTAGCATATTTCATTATTACAGTCAATACAAAATGTATTTACGAAAACGCTAATGCACATGGATTTTAAGCTGGAAGGAGTCCACAAGGACAGGCTGGGCGCTCAGACTTCTCCGTGCGATGTCCATGGACAGCTGGAATCCACGACACTTGCACTCACTCCTAAGCCTCGCTTGAGCCTGCCCCGCCGAAACACCCCCATCAGTGCTTTTTTTGGGCCCCGGGTTTCCCGGGACCACCCCAGCCCCTTAGTCCCTCGCGTTGGCCCCTAGCCCGGATTGTCACACCCCCATCACGAGCTCCGGCTCCGCGCAGGCGCACCAGGTGCCTGCGGACGTGCCGAGCCCCGCCTGCCACTAGCGCGGCGAACCCATTGGCTGGAGGCTTATGCATATGCAAACAAAGGACCCCGCTCAGGCGACTTCCTTGGGACGGGTGTCAGGGGGTGGGGCCAGAAACCTCGGGGCAGGGCCAGTACCCGGAGAGAAGAGCTAGAGGCCGGGCGCGGTCAGATGCGAGCCAGAGTGAGCCTAAGAAGAAGGGGCAGATACGGGGGCAGGGCTGGGGCTTGGAGCGGCGAGGAAGGGGCCAGGCTGGGGAGGCTGGACCTGCGGCAAGACCGGGTCAGGGGCCGGGGAAGGGAACCTGGGTTGGGGAATACCGCTAGGAGCGAGCCGAGGGCAGGGTTGGTCCCCAGGCGGTGGCGAATACTGCAACCGGCTTGGGCGTGGAGCCGGGGCTCAGGAGAGGAATCCCAGAGAGCCGTGTTTTGGGGCGGGTCCGGAGGCGGAGCGGGGAGACGTGCGGAGGACGGGGGCGGGGCTAGGGAGGGGGAGAAGAGGGCTGGGGGCGGGGAGCCGAGGGCCTGGGGCGGAGCTGGTACGCGAACTGGGCCACCTGCAGAGAAACGCGGGGTTCCCGGGCGGGACCTGGAGGCCAGAGACGCTTGAGGGTGGGAACGATCCTGTAGCTGGGCGCCGGGGCAGGGAACAGCCGCCATGAGCACCCTGGACTTGGCCCGGGTGGGCGCGTGCTTGCTGAAGAACGCAGTGACGGGAGAGGTGAGGATGGCGGAGAGGGAGTGAGTGTAGGGTGGCATGGTCGGGAGGTGCCATGGTGGCGCCAGAGGCCCCAAAGGTGCTGGCCGCACAGGGCCCAAGCGCACGGAGCTTGGGCTGTGCGGAGCAGGCGGGCGGTGGTCCCTTGGGCGTAACCATTTAACTGGCCGCCGCCCCAGGCCGTGGAGCTGCGGAGCCTGTGGCAGGAGCAGGCATGCGTGGTGGCTGGGCTGCGGCGCTTCGGCTGCATGGTGTGTCGCTGGATCGCTCGGGACCTCAGCAGCCTCAAGGGGCTCCTGGACCAGCACGGCGTGCGCCTGGTGGGTGTGGGGCCTGAGGCCCTGGGCCTACAGGAGTTCCTGGACGGAGGCTACTTCGCGGGAGGTGGGTCATCTTTCCACACTCCACACCCCTCAACCTCTATTAAGCTGCCCTGAGACCCTCCTCTCAGAGAGAGGGTCCTAGACACGGGAGGCCGACCTTGGGCCTCCATCTTGCCATCTGCAACAGCCCCCCAAAGCCCTGCTGTAGTGTCCTGGGGTGGAGTGGGGGTAGGTGGGATGTGGCTCTGAGACCCTTCCCTAAACTCAGGGTGCTTGACTGTCCCTCTGCCCTGCCCCGCCCCGCCCCACCCCTTATCAGCACTAGGAGGCAGGGGCCTTGACTTGCTCATGTGTGAACTGCCCTCATCTCTGGATCCAACCCTGATGTGGGGGTATTTCCCACTGAGGACAGATGGGCAGTGACAGGGCCCAGGTTACACTGGTTCAGAACCCAGACCTGAATGTTTACCTTAGATAACTGGGTCACCCAGGCCCTGAACACTCTCAAATGCCCCCTACCCTGAGTGGGAGTAACAAGGACACACGCCTAGCATGGCTACCTCTCCCTCCTTTCATTCCCCTCCCTCTCAAGGAGTCCCCTGCTCAGTGGCAGAATCAGGGTGAGTATTGTCCTTCCCTTTTTACCTGTTACCTTGGGCCCCAGTCTCTCTTCTGAACAGGGGAACCCTTATTCCTGCTTTGCCCTCCTGGCCCTTTGTGATAGCCCAGGTAGGCAAGAAGGGCGGACAGCGAGCAGGTGGAGGAGGGTAAGCCTGGGTGGCAGTAGGGCCAGGGCAGGGCCTGGGCACCACATCTATGGCCTCTGCTTTGCAGAACTCTACTTGGATGAGAGTAAGCAGTTCTACAAGGAACTGGGCTTCAAGCGGTGAGTGTGTGTGTTGTGTGTGTGCATGTGGGTGTGCCTGGGGGGCCGAGGGGCAGAGTCCTCCTTGGGGTTAGAGAGGCCTCATTCCTCCTCTGTCACCCTCTGCTTGGCTGTCCACGCTGGCCTCCCTGGGCAAGCTGGGTCTGGTAGCACTGTCTGCTCTGACCAGCCTTTCTGGAAGCTGGGTTCTCTCTTGAGGATGGGACTGTGTAATACAATGGTTAAACCATCCAGTTGCTAACCAAAAGGTTGGCAGTTTGAACCCACCAGTCACTCTGTGGGAGAAAGATGTGGCAGTCTGCTTCCATAAAGATTTACAGCTTTGGAAACCCTATGGGGGCAGTTCTACCCTGTCTTATAGGGTTGCTGTGAGTTGGATTTGACTCAATGACAGTGGGTTTGTTTTTTTGGTGGGGTAAACATCTTCCCTGTGATGATCTACACCCTCCATGCTGTGGTGTCAGGGGGCCTTGGAGTTTGTGTGCCCAGGCACAGGCCATCCCAACTCCATGCCTGTGGGGAGAATGGCAGCCTCTAGGTCAGGCTGCTTCCCTTGATGGGCAGCAGCAGCTGAGCCAGATCACAGCCCACCTGGCCTGGGGCCCAGCCCCTGCTCTGACACGCCTGCAGGCTGGTGCCCAGGACTAAGGTGGCCACTCTGGGCTGCACAGGAGGCCCTTTTGAGGGCTAGTCTGGTTGCTGTCCTGGGGCCCAAGTCTTTCTGAAGCCCTGGAGAGGAAGGTGGGGGAGGTAGGCCTGATGGTGGGACCTGTCTTGCATCTTGTGGGGTAGGGGCAGTGTTGGAGCTTATTCTTCCCCTCAGAGCCTGGACCAGTGAGCCACTCACTGTCTTTGCAGGTACAACAGCCTGAGCATCCTGCCTGCTGCCCTGGGGAAGCCAGTGCGGGATGTGGCCGCTAAGGTAGATTAACAGCCAAGATCATGAGAGACTCAGGGTGGCACAGCTTGGCTATCCCTGTCTCCCACCCTCTGTCACCCACCCATCCCCATTGCCTACCCCTCAAGGGCTGACATGAACCCTGCTTTCTCCACCTCAGGCTAAGGCTGCCAATATCCAGGGGAACCTCTCTGGGGACCTGCTGCAGAGCGGAGGGCTACTGGTGGTCAGCAAAGGTGAGTAGGAAAAGGAGAGAGATAAGGCCTGGGGCCCTAGGATATGCAGAGCTCAGCTGGGACGCTCTTGCCAAACTTGGAGACTAGACCCTGACCTTCCCTCTACTGGTTTCTTGGTCTCATCTTGGCTCCTCCTCTTAGTATGGCCCCTGCTCTGAGGCTGTATTAGACTGATGGGGGTGATAGCCAGAATAACTGGGAGTCTCAGTAATGGGCTGAGGGTGCTGTGGGGCTGTGGGCTGGCCATTGGGGCAGGAAGTTGCAGTACCCAGGGCTGAGGTTGACCTCAAGCAGGCTGGCCCACCCTTCCTCTTCTTCCTCCTCACACACTGGCCAGGTGAGGCCCTCCAGGCACCCTACCTCCTTGCTGCCCCCAGGTGGTGAGAAGGTGCTGCTGCATTTTGCCCAGAAGTCCCCAGGAGACTACGTTCCCCAGGACAGCGTTTTGCAGGCCTTGGGGATCTCTGCAGAGGGCTGTGGCACTGAGCCACCCCAGGTGAGCTGGGTCTTGGGAGTGGGACTGGTTGGTAACCCTCTAAAGCCTAGTCCCATTGGGGCAGGCTCAGGGGGCCAGGCGCTGCTGGGCTGGGGCCTTGAGGGTACTTTCTCTCATTCTGGGCTCCTAGGAGCCCTGGGTATAGATGTCATCACCGTTATCCACCCCTCCCCCAGGGGGGATGCAGGTGAGAGGAGTTAGAGTATGAGGATGGGGGAGTACAGTGGTCTGACAAGGAGGCCACTCCTTAGAGTGGTGGGTTGCAGAGGGAAGCCTGTCCTTTTCATTTGGAATGCTGAGGTGTGCCTGAGGTGGCCCCAGCTGGCATTAGCATGTTCTTGTACCCCGAGTGGAGGCGAGTGACCCCTGCCTCCAGCAGGTTCTCTCTTCCACCTGGCCCCAGACTGTCGGGGGGGGGGCACCTTCTCTTGACCCCTGGAATGTGGCTGGCCTGATGAGCCCGTGTTGCCTCTACAGTGTGATGAGGAGATGTGTGGAAGGTGAAGACTCCGGGCTTCCGAGGACCTGGGAATGCTGAGAGTTGGATGTGAAGGATCGTTCTGGAATCACTGAGCAGGAATGCTGGACTTTGCCGGGTCCGTGGGCAACAGAGGCCATTAAAGCTGCGCTGTCTTGTCAGAGTGCTGCTTCACTGGCTCCAAGCCTTGTGTCCCTTGTGTCCCTTGTGTCCCTGTGCCCTGTCCGTGTAGCTCCTGCCTCCCTGCCTGGGGTTTCCTCTGGGTTGACTGCAGACATCATGGGTCCTCTCTGCCTGGGGGTTATAATCCCTTAGAGGGATGCCTCTCTGCTCTCTCTCTGGAGACCTAAGGCCTTTGCCACATGGGGCCCATGGGGAAGTGACTTCACTGCCCTGTCATTTCTTCCCCAAGTGACCATGCCCCAGACCTGTCTTGTGGCCTCAGGATGCCAGGAGAGGCCCAGGTTTTGAGGACTGGGGAGAGGAGGGCAGGGTCATGCCTGTCTGATGAGGAGGGGTAGGAGACAGGAAATCCCTTGGACCCCAGGCTACAGGCAGCCTCAAGGGGTCAGAATGTCAGTGTGCCTGTCTGGTGGGATCCCTATCAGGGCCAGCACTCCTGATTTTCAGAGAAGAAATGGTTTTGATTCCACCTGTTAAGCTCTGTGGATAATCAGAGATTTTGGGGAGATGGCTGGTCAACCAGAAGGATCTTCCTTGATGGGAGACTCATGGGAAGCACCTGCAGGGCTAGGGGTGGGGGACAGGCCTCGGAGAGAGTGGGGTCCTTTTGGGTGTGCCCATCCTCCCTGACACCTCCCCGTGGGACTCTAATTGGCATGTCACACCTACCAGGCCCCCAGCAGAACCTCGGGTGCCATTCAGGCCTCTCCCCAGTACACAGCCTGCCCTCTCATCAGCTCTCAGGGGAGGGGCTCCAGTGATTGCTCAGCCTCCCCTCCCCACACACGTGGCAGCTGGGGTGCCTGCAGCTGTCTGCTCACCGGCTTCCTGCATCCACCCCACCCACTCTGGCCCTTTTCCCTGTCTGGTCATTTACAAACCACCACAGACTAGGTGACCCCATCCTGTGGTTTAAGCCCCCATGGGCCTGCACTTACACAGAGCCATACAGGCAGGCTCCAACTGTGGACTGGTACCTGAGAAGCCTCCCAGCCTCCGCTCTTTCCTGTGTCACCATCTCACAACCGCCAATCTAGACTCATGTTCTGTAAGCTCCATAAGCATAGACATCTGGGGGACTGGGTTCATTGCAATGTCCCCAAGACAACGGTAGTGAGGACACTCTCTGAGCCTTGGCCAGGAACCTGTTCATGGGTGTGCTCCCAGTGGCTCTGCCCATGCACAGTGTTAGAATCAGAAGTCTAAGAAACAGAAGCATGTCTTGGGACAAAGCCACAGGTGCCTAGCAGGCACCGCCACCCTGAGCGATCACCCAGCCTCGCTCTGTGAACAGTGCTTTCCAAACACCTCTTAGGAAAAAACAAACAAACAAAAGAGCCGGCCGCTTCTTTGAAGCTTTTACTCAGCTCTCATCTGAAGCTCTGCAAATGACGCGCTTTGGCGAGTAGGCGAAGGAGATTCACAGTCTGCACTGAGCGGCGTGGCCCGCGGTGGGCGCGGGGCGGGGACACCGGGCAGGCATCCTACACCCGGCACTGCACACTTGGCTGGTGTCACGGCGGCGTTCGGGCCGCGTACAGGCCGCGCGCAGAGGACTAGCTGCCCGGCCAGGGCACTCGGGTCCCTGCTGGATCCCCGCAGGTTCCCGGCAGGTTCCCATCTCCTCCGCGGACCTCCCGGCGGCGGGTGGCTATGGGCCGCGCTTGGCGGCTCGGCCTTAGCTACCAGATGCGGCATCGCTCCCTCGGGTGCATCCGGGTGCCCCGCGCGCAGTGGAACGCATCCGCGAAGGCGCCCAGGTTCTGCAGTGAGCCCAGCACCCTGCCGGCCGACAGGTGGCCTGAGACTGGCGCTGGGTTGGGGGGTTGGGGGGAGGACGTGGGACCAGGGCTAAACCAGGGCGGGGGCGCTTGCCTGTACTTCAGGGGACTATGGACGTCCGTCTTGATGGACTGGATGGCGAACTCGGGCCGGTAGGACCCGCACCACACCTGTGGGCGCACAAGGGGCGTGGCGCGGTGTGAAGGGCGTGGCCCGGGAGAGGAAGGGGTGGGCCTTGAGGGGCAGTGGGAGAGCCGCAGGGTCGTCTCAGATTTCTTTCTCTTGGCACAAATGAGTCACCGCCAGTCCAGACTGGGGTCGGGGGAGGGAAGCGGCAGGTTCCTCCCTCCACATCTACATCTGACTCCTCTCAATTCCGGAACCGCCCTCCGCCCCCTCCTCCAGGAAGCATTCCAGGTTAGTCCACTGGTCTGGCCCTGCCCTGCCTACAGCACCCTGTGGTGCTCCATAGCAGGTGCCCCCAAAGCTGTGGAAATGGTAGCAGCTGTCAGCTGGCATGGGGGCCGCTGGTGGAATTGAGCATTTCCAGGACAGGAGGGCAGGTGGGACATCTACCTGGGCATAGTTGATGAAGAAAAGCTGCTTGTGGGTCATTTCCAGGCCTGGCAGCTGGAGGTCCCTGCCACCTTCCATCAGCCACTTTAAGTAAGCCTGCGGGTATCGGGTGGGGCACTGGGCACGGCTCTCAGAGGGCCCAGCTCTTAGAGGGCCCAGCCTGCCTTGCCTCCCAGACAGACCCACTGTCCCCTCTACTACCTTCCCAGATGGGTCCTGTCTCTGCCGCTTAGTGCTCATGGTCTGTTGCGCTTAGCACCTTAAGGTACTCATGACCATTTGAGAGCTGCACTAGTTGATTCTGTGTGGGCCCCCACCCCAGACTGAGCTCCCAGGCTCTGGGAGATGGCCTGTCGCTGAGATGTGAGTGCAGGGGTGTTGCTGAGGGGACTGTCTCAGTCTGTCTTATTTGAGGCCTAGTCAAGGGATGGTAGGATTTGAGCAGAGATGCTTTGTCCTGCTCCACCACCAGCATGTGGAATTTCCTCAGGGCGTGGATGGAGGAAGTTCCCATGACACACCTCGGCTTGGCTTGCCAAGCTAAGGCTCTCCCATCCTGGCTGAGTTTGGCTGCTCCCCTACCCCCTCCTCGAGGGGATGCCCGCCTCAACCCACCTTATATGCCTGCCGCACTCCTCCATTGTCGGCGATGTTCTCCCCAAGCGTGCTGAACCCGTTCACCTGCGCAGGGTGGAACAGGTGCCAGGAGGCAGGTGGGTGTCAAAGCCCTGGGTGGGATCTGAGGTCTTGAGCCCCTTGTCTCATGGGTTTGGCCCCCAGGGTGGCTAGGGCTAGGGTGTGGCCCCGTGGGATGGCCAGGGTTGGAGTGTGGACTTTGGGCTGGCCAGGGCTGGGGAGTGGACCCCCAGGTGGTGCCGGTGATACACTCACATTTTGCTGGTCCGCCAGGTCCCAGCTGTAGTTGCCGTACTGGTAGACCATGCACTCTGACTGGTCGCGGAAGTGCTGGGCGGAGAAGTTGCTCCACCAATCCAGCATGTTGCCATCTTTGTCGAAATTCCGTCCTGGCAGGGGCAGAGGCCATGTGCTGAACCAGCCTGATCTGATGGACGAGTGCTGGAGCTGGCCTGTCCTCGTACCTCCTCCCAGCCAACCCTGGATCTAGAGCTCATGGTTCAGAAGGGGATAGTAGGTTGTTCCTGGGCTGCTCAGTCCTCTGAGAGGGAGGGCCCCCATTGGCATCTGTGCTACCCCCTGAGTTTAGGACCTGGGGTCTCAAGTCATAGGGCCTTGGAGGTGCTGTGCTTTGTGCATCCTTCCTGTGATGTCCAAACTCTCAAAGCCCCAGGTGAGGGGACCCTGTGGTCCCTGGGGATGAAGGCTGCCCTTGGCAGGGCACAACAGTGAAGCCATGTGGGGGAGCCAGCGTTCACATGCTGCAGCTGAGCCTGTGAGTGGGTGCCACCAGTAGAACCTGGCTGGAATGTTTGGCTCAGCATGTGCCCCAGCTGTCTTGGAAATGACACTAAGCCCATTTCCATGCCAGGCCAGGGGCTGGGAGCACAACAAGTGAGGCAGTGTTGCTGTCCCCATGTCTCCATGTCTCAGGCTCTGGAGGGGGAAGGGACTAGTTAATTAGATGGTATGTGATTACAGGATGTGCATGGCACTTGAGCCCTTCTCTCTCTTTCTTTCCACTTTGAGGACAGGGCCAGGCCTGGCATCTCAACCACTCTGCCACACAGTCCCTGGGCACCTGGCAAATCCCTCTCCTGCCCTGGGCCTCAGTGTCACCATTTAGAACACCAAGGGTTGAACAGATGGTCCCCAAGGCCCCTCCTGGTGTATGTGGGAGACATGGGAGTATGGCTCTGCTTCTGGGCCCCCTGCAGCCCCCTCACCATTGTCGTCAAAGCCATGGGTGATTTCATGCCCAATCACCATGCCGATGCCCCCGAAGTTCAAGGCCTGTGGCTGCTCCTTGCTGAAGAAGGGGGGTTGGAGGATCCCAGCAGGGAACACTGCCCCAAGGGGGACAAAGAATCACCTGTGAGCTGGCACCCCATGTGCCCAGCACAGGGTGGGGGGCACTTCTGGGTGTCCTTCATTCAATCTGGCAATGCTGATAGAAATGATGACCCCCTCCACATTCTAAACTTGGGAAAATAGGTTCAGGGACCAAGGGAATTGACCCAGGGCTTAGGTCCATGTTCTTCCCACCATTTGCTGCTACCCTCAGGGAGAGGAGTTCTGCTGTCCCCACTAAGCCATCCCCCATCTGGTCCTTGAGGCCGGATGAGGGAGACATCCTTTGGGTAGGGGATAGGGCTCCCTTCAGGTGAAAGTGACAGGCATCTACTTTCTGTCATAGGCTGGGAGGGGCCCAGGAGGAAGTGGGGATGGGCTGTACTGGTATGGGAGTGGTGAGGGCAGAGGTGGGAGACATACCGATCTGGTTTCGGTTTGGTGAGTAGAATGCATTGACCACCGCTGCCCCAATGATCCAGCTGTGTTGAATAAGCCGGTCCCTTGAACCCAGTCTCCTGGACCCTCCTTCAGGGCCCCCCCTGCCCTGGCTGACCAGAGCCCACCTCAAAGACCCACATTCCAGTGGCTGTGTCACAGGACAGCCAGAGCAGGGTCTCTGGTTATCTGAGAGTCCAGCCACCTCCAAGGCTAGCCCAGACCCTGCCTGCTGTGTCCCCAGCACCCTGCTAGGCTGGCTTGACTCCCACTCAGTTGGCCCTGGAACCCACATCCGAGGCTGGCCTGGACCCTTGTGGCCCCAGTGCACCTCCGACCCCCCCCCACCTCCGTCACTCACAGGTTTGGATCCACCTTCTCCCGAAGCTTCTTAAGGCTCCTCTGGGCGCCAGCCTTGAGGTTCTGCAGGCTGTTCTCAAAGTACAGATCCTCAGAGAAGTTCAGCTGTGGGAGAGGGGCTGTCACCTTCCAGGTGGGGCGGGGGTGTAGGGGGGTGTCTTCTGGGCCTGGGGGAGTGGGAGGGGCTCAGGGCCACCCAGCACTAGGCACAGTGGCCCATGGGCTCTGAGTTTTCCAGCTCTCAGCTCTATGTAACTTCAGGTGGCTGTGAGCTAGCTCCCTAATCTCTCTGGGTCTCTGTCTCCCCATCTAAGGATGGACAGTAATGATGGGGGAGCCCAGGGCCTGGCACAGACACCTCCCCCCATGACTGAGGGTCCCAAGGTGGAGGTCAGGTGGGGTAGGCAGCCCATGGCGCACATTGGAATACTCCTCATCCAGCTGCCGGTTCCTCTCCTCCAGGATGTAGTCAGGGTAGCCGATCTGCTCTCGGATGCTCACGGCCTAGGGAGGAGAGGGCCTGTCCGCACCTGCCTGTCGTGGGAGTGGGGGCCTCCTAGCAGTGGTGGACCCCGGTATCTTAGCCCTATACCCCTTTGCCATGCTGCTTTGGGGAAGGGGTCTGTTGGAGGCAGGGCTCCTCTTTAAAGAGTGTGGAGAAGTTGAGCTGGCCCAGTCCAGGTCTGACCCTTAGGACTTGCCCGGCAGCCAAGGGACTAGGGAGGGTGCAAGGGGCTGGGAGGAGGCACTAGGCTGCCAATTGTTACACTGGCTCAGAGAGGGTCCTGCAGGGTCCTGGTCCTCTTTACTGAGAGCCCCGCTACCTGAGGCCATGGCATTGCCACTCATTCCTGGGCACTGGCCAAGGCTTGGCTTCTGTTCTGCCTCTGCCCATGACCAATCACCTCAGTTTCCTCATCTTGAAAGTGGATAAGAGGATGTCTGCCCCGTGCTCTTATCCTGGGGCTGCAGCAGGGGTGAGGGGTGCGGGAGGAATCTCAGGAGCAGGGGAGTCTCAGGTGCTGGGGATCTGGCTGGTGCCCTCTGGTGGCTCCGTCCAGGCCCCGAGCTCTGTCCACCCTCACCTTCTCCTGGGCTTTGTTCTTGGACTCTTTGTCCATCCAGCTCAGCTCGTCCAGAGTCTCCACGAACACTGCCCGCACCTTGTCAATGAGCTTTCTCACCTGGGGGCACACGTGGCCCTTGTGCTCTGGACACATCCAGGGGGCAGTGGCCAGCACGAGGGGCTCGCTGCAGCAGTCTGGTCCAGCCCCTGCATGTCGGGACAGCCTGGGCTGCCCTGCTCTGGGCCTCTCCAGGTGTGTGGCTAGGGTGGTGGTGGGGCCGATGGCGCTTAGGACAGGTCCTCACTGCTCTGACCCACCTGCTTGGACCCTTGTAGGTGGGCCCAGGGGAGGACCTCCCCTGATCTCACAGTTGCACCCTTCTCCAGGTTGGCTGCTCAAGGCAGCAGGAGGTGGGGGCCCCAATACTAGGGATTCAGGGTGGTGTCAGGGGGACTCAGATTCAGTGGTTGTGGTAGATCTTTGTGGTCTCCCTGTTCCAGTTGCCCCTCCCACATGGGGACTACTAGGCATAACCCTGTTGCTCCAAGGCCAGGCAGGACCCCCTTACTGGGAGCAGGGAGACATGCTATGGGGGGTGATGTGGCCTGTCCCCACCTGTCTTGGGGAAGGTGTCTCTGTGGCGAGCTGTGCCAGCATGACAGGCCTTAGATGGGCCATGGGCAGGGGGTTCTGACCACATCAGAAGTCAGGGCCACCCACCATCTTCTTGCTGTCTCTGGGGAAGGCCTCTCTGACGTAGAGAGAGCCCACGGCGTTTTCCATATTGCTGTTGACATAGCTGACACACTCCCGCCAGCGCACCTCCTCCACTGTTGTGCCATACAGTGCCTGGGTGGGGCAGGTAGGCAACGTCCCTTCATTCGTTCATTCATTCACTCCTTCACATTTACCAACATCTACCAACATCCTCCCAGGTCTTAGGTGGGGCCCTGGGGTTGTAAAGTGAGAAGAAACACCTGGCCATCAGCCTCAGGGTGCCCGAGGCTAAAGGGGAACACAGATGAACCCAAAGCCATCTTTTAATGCTGGGTATGGGGAGCACGGGTCTGGCTTGGAAAGCTAGGCCAGGAATTAGGCCTTTACCCTGGGGCTGCTAGGTCCCAGCTCAGCCCCAGGACTCTCCCTCATCCCATTCACGTCATCGTGGTCTGGCCGCCTGGCGTGGACTCAGCCTCACCCCTAAAGCACAGAGGCAAGACCTGGGGTCAGCTACACGTTGCCAGTTCTTTGGGGCCCAGTGTTTCCACCTCTAACAAGGACACAGACCCACAGGGACTCGGGTTGGGATGGAAATGGATCCCACGTTAGAACCTCAGTCCTAAATCTCAAGTGGGTCCCAAGAACTCTGTTCAGCATCATCTTCACTTTCCTGGGCTGTGGGGGCTCCTGCCTCCAGGATGTCAGTCTGGCGTCTTCCTTTCCTCAGAGCTCCTGACTTAATCACTTAATAGATGATCCAATCCAGTGTGCCAAAAGTGGGGTTTCTAACTGACCCACCTCAGTGAAGAACCCTTGAGTTGTCCCTGACTCCCTCTTTCCTTTGCCCCTCACATCTAACCCATTGACTTCTTGTCTCTAACCTGTTTCCCAAATCAACTGCTGACAACATCCTGGTCCATGCCCCCATCACCTGGATGACCATATTAAACTTCATAGGGCCTCCTGCCCCCTCTGACCCTCCCAGGCCATTGTCTCTGGAACAATTGCAGCGATTGCACAAACAGGAAATGAAATGGCATCTCCTGCTCTGCACCCCTCCTCCCCAGTGGGTTTAGCTACATGTGGACTACACTCCCCCTGGCCTGGCTACACATCATCAGCCTCTGCCTCCTTCCCTAACCTCACCCTTACCTTCCCTCTAGACCCCTGGGACCAACCTCCTGGTCTCCTGGTCTTGCCTCAGGACCCTAGCTAGCTCTTTCCAATCCCTGGAAATCTCCCCAGGTTTCTTCATGCCTGAGTCCTTCCTGCTTTCAAGATCTCCAGAGTCCCCTGTGCAAAGGGACTCTCTCTGCCCTCACCCCACTCCCTCACATTACATTTTTGGGTTTTGGCAGAACAAAGATCTGGCTCATTGGTTGTTCATTGTGTCCAACAGGGTGGGTGCCTCATCTATCTTGTTTGTGGCTTTGACCCTTGTGGTGACCTTGGTGCTTGACCTATAGCAGACACTCATATCACAGATTGAATAAATGATGGGTCAGATTCTGGGCAGGCTGTGAGCCTCCTCTTTGGGTCTTGCTTACCTTGCGGTAGTTCACTCGAGTGTCCTTAAATCGCTGGCTCAGGCTGCTGATGCGGTCCAGTACCAGGCGCCAGATCAGGTAGTTCTGCATGGTCCTGGGGGGGAGGGCAGAAAGCAGAGGGTGGGGACAGAACAGGCGAGGGGTATTTGCCTGGGCAGGGGATATGGCTCCTTGGTTGTTGGCCAGCAGATTCACCCCAAGGAGGGATTTCAGAGAGCTACAGAAGATTTCCAAGACAACTGCTTAGATACATCCCATCTTCCCCACCTTGCTTGAGATACCTCAAGGAATGGTCTTGCATCTCTAATGTAAGCTCCCTTGGCTATTATACTTCAACCCCCTCGTGGATCCCATGCCTCAGGGTAGATGTCTGAGGGGACCCTCTCCTGAGAGCTGGAGCTGTTGGGGAGGGGAAGAGAGGAGGAGGCAAGGATGCTGAGGCCTCCTGGAGCCTTCCCTGGGTGTTACCTGGCTGAGTAGGCATCTATGATGTCCTCCAGATTTCTGAGGTAGGGGATGCCATAGACCACCACTTCCTCATCTGGTAGGAGCTTGATTCTGACAGAGGCTAGCACAGTTTGTATGAAGACAGTCCAGTTAAATCCCTAGGGAAGGAGTTGCTGTTGTTGTTGTTAGGTGCCATCGAGTCGTTTCCGACTCATAGCGACTCCATGCACAGCAGAACGAAACACTGCCCAATCCCGCACCAGCTCCACAATCCCTGCTATACTTGATGTGAGATTTGAGGGAAGGAGAGCATGCGGATAAAGAGGAACCAATAGAGAGATAGATATAGTTCCGGAGCATTCAAGAAACCCAGCCCCAACCCAAGACTATTCCAGAAATCAGAGAGAAGGCACAGATAATAAGAATTAGGAAAAATGTGGGTGATATTACTACATAGCCCACAGACTGTAAAAGACAATAAAAGTTTATTCCAATACATTTGAACACTCAAGTGTCATGGAAAATTTTCTGGGAAAAGCACAACTTAGCAAAACTGACAAAAGAAGAATTAGAATATATATGAATAGTCTTATATGGTAAATAAACAAAATTTTTAATTTGAAATATTCCCACAAAGAAATTTCCAGGTCTTCTGGCTTTACCAGTGGATTCCATCTGACATTTAAAGAAAACATATTATCAATCTTACTCAAATTTTCCTGAGAAGAGAAAATTCTTTTCAACTTTTTTTATGAGGCCCAAAATAACCTTAATACCAAGATTGTTACTGTTAGGTGCCATCGAGTGAGTTCCAACTCATAGCGACCCTATATACAACAGAATGAAACATTGTCAGATCCTGCACAGCCTCACAATCCTTGCTATACCTGAGCCCATCATTGCAGCCACTGTGTCAATCCATCTTGTTGAGGGTCTTCCCCTTTGTTGCTGACCCTCCACTTTACCAAGCATGATATCCTTCTCCAGGGAATGGTCCCTTCTGGCAACATGACCAAAATAGTTGAGACAAAGTCTGGCCATTCTTGCTTCCAAAGAGCATTCTGGCTGCACTTCATCCAGGGTAGATTTGTTAGTTCTTCTGGCAGTCCATGGTACTTTCTCCAACACCACAACTCAAAAGCATCAACTCTCCTTTGGTCTTCCTCATTCATTGTCCAGCTCTCACATGCATATGAGGCAACTGAAAAGATTATGGCTTGGGTTAGGTGCACCAGCACTTTAAAGAGGTCTTTTGCAGCAGATCTGCCCATTGTGTGATTTCTTCCATTGGTGTTGTGAAACCAAGTAATATGAAATCTTTGATGTCAATCTTTTCTCCATTTATCACGATGCTGCTTATTGGTCCATTTGTGAGGATTTTCATTTTCTTTGTGTTGAGGTGCAATTCATAAGGCTGACTGTAGTCTTTAATCTTCATCAGTAAGTGCTTCAAGTCATCTTCAGTTTCAGCAAGCAAAGGTATGTCATCTGCATATCTCAGGTTGTTAATGAGTCTTCCTCCAATCCTGATGCTGTGTTTTTCCTCATCTAGTCCAGCTTCTTGAATTATTTGCTCAGCAAAGAGATTGAATAAGTATGTTGAAAGGATACAACCCTGACACAGTTTCCTCCTGGTCTATATACATGTTCCTCCTGAGCACAATTAAGAGTTCCAGAATTCCCATTCTTGTCAATACCAAAAAAACCAAACTCACTGCCGTCAAGTTGGATCTGACTCATAGCGACCTCTCCTTGGGTTTCCAAGGAGGTATCACTATGGAAGTAGATTGCCCTGTCTTCCTTCCGAGGAGTGGCTGGTGGGTTTGAACGGCCAGCCTTCTAGTTAACGGTCAAATGCCTTAGGCACTATGCTACCAGAGCTCCTATTCTTAATAGTATCCATAATTTGTTACGATCCACACAGTCAAATGCCTTTGCATAGTCAATAAAACACAGGTAAACATCTTTCCGGTATTTGCTTTCAGCTAATATCCATCTGATATCAGCAATGATATTTCTTGTTCTACATCCTCTTCTGAATCCAGCTTGCGTTTCTGAAAGTTCCCTCTCAATATACTGCTGCAATTGTTTTTGTATTATCTTCAGCAAGATTTTGTGTGTGATATTAATGATATTGTTTGATAATTTCCACATTCTGTGGGATCACCTTTCTTTGGAATGGGTACAAATATGGATACAAGATAAGACTGTTGTTGTTGTGTGCCGCCGAGTCGGACCCAACTCATAGCAACCCCTCCTTGGGTTTCCAAGGCAGTATCACTACAAAAGTAGATTGCCCAACCTTCCTTCCGAGGAGTGGCTGGTGGGTTTGAACTGCCAGCCTTCTGGTTAGCAGTCAAGTGCCTTAGCCGCTATGCTACCAGAGCTCCCAACAAGATACTCAACTTTAATAGATAACGTCAAACCACCGTTTTCCAAAATACCCTCCCAATGGGAATGTGAGATGCCTTGCCCATGCCTGGAAGTGTCAATTCTTTTCATCTTAGCTGCTCTTTTATTTTCTTTTAATAGTCTTACTACAAGATAATAAGGCAGGCTCCTTGAAGCAGGGGGTTGGGTTTCTTCTGTTCACTGATGAAGGCCCATGCCAGAATGGTGCCTGGCACTCCTGTCTTGGCTCCACTCTCTGAGGTTCCTGTCCTCCTGTCCTTCTCACTCTGACTGGGATCCTGTCCCTATCTATCCTATCCCCTCCTTGGGTGCAGGGATCTGTGACTTTGGGCCAGTTAGCAACCCCTCTGAGACTCAGCTTCCCGTATAGGAAAATGAGGTTACCCTAGCAGTGACCTTATGGATAGGGTAAGTGACCTATGTCCCAAGCCAGGCTCAGTTGACAGCCAGTATCCTGGGACAGTTCGTAATTGTTCAGCCCTGCTCTTAAAGAGTCCCAGTCTGGGTGGTAAATTACATGGTTCCTTGCTCAGGGGAGGGAGGGCATATTTCTGAGGTGTCAATGAGAGACACAGGGTCGGGTCAGGTGAGGTGGGGCCCCATGCCCCTATGGAAGCTCCCTTTTCTCTGTGCCCTGTGAGATAGGATGCTCAGTGAGCTGCCCCCCATGCCACCTCCTCCAGGCAGCCTCACCTTCAGGTTAAACCTGCTCTGCAGCTCCTGGAGGTCCATCCGGTGGTACAATGCGGTGACATCATGCCTTTCCTCCTGGGGTGCTGTGGCCTGCCCAGGGTGGGTGTGCAATCATATTGGGGTGCCGGGGCCCAGGCCCTCAGCCCCTGCCCCTCTGGCCCTGCGAAGCCCAGCCTCACATTTGCCAGCTGTGTCTCCAGGTCCAGCACCTGTGCCATGTCCTTCTGCACCAGGAAGTCATTCTTGGGGAGGTTCATGTCTGCCCTTAGCATTATGGCCACCGAGATCATAAACTGCAGGTAAGCATCCCGCACCTGGGCCAGAGGGTGTGGGGTGGGTGGCGGGATGCTGCAGGACAGAGTCGGGCATCCCCAGCTACCTTGTCTACTGCTCATTGGGCCAGCCCTGGTCTCAGGACTCACAGCCTGGGATGAGGGCTTTCAGATTGCCTATGCCCCCCAGGCCGGGGGCTTCATCCTCACATGGCTGACTCTGGCTGCCATTCATTTTCCCCAGAACAAGCCTGCCTGGAGGGACTCATGGGGTTGGACCAGCTGCTATCCCTGACCCTGAGCCTTGGAGCTGCCCCCGAGGGACACACCAGGCAGCTCCAGGCCTCAGTGAGGTCCAGCCCACTTTTCTGCTGTGTGATCTCAAGTCCTTGATTTACACAGCTTTGCTGGCTCTTCATGGGTTCTCACTAAAGGTCAAGGCCACCAGGTGCCCAAGTCAAAGGTGAGCCACCTTGGCCAGCCTCCTTCAGCTACAGTGACCTTGGATGTTAGTCTGAGGCCTCTCCCTACCTCTTCCCCTGCTGTATCTGCTGGGTGCCAAGGGAGAGGGCTGTCCTGGGGACTGAGGGTCAGGAAGGAGTCCTGGGCATGCTAGTCCCCCTGGACCTGCTGTCTTCATGCCCACCCTGGGACAGGCTTTCCTCACTGCAGGCAGGAACCCCCGAGGCCACCTTCCCATGTTCCCTGCTTCCAGGTTGGGCCAGTACCCCTGGCCCATCTTGGCGCATGTCACCTGCTCTGACCATGGCTGTCTGGTGTGGGCCTTGGTGTGATGACTCATTTCCTGTTGCTCTGCAGAACTTCTGAGCCTACTCTCTCAGCCCACAGCTCTATACTTTGGCCACACCCATCCTTTTCCTTGGCTCTATCCATCCTTCAAAGTCTTGCTCACAGCTCACCTCCTCTAGGAAGCCCACCTGTATTGCACCATTGGTGATTGCACACCTCTTGCCTTTGTACACTCTGCTGCCCTCCTTTGTCCTTCCTCCCGGTCCTTAACCTCCAGGTGAGTTGTCCACACTCCCCCATACCCCAGCAGCCCTTGCCCTGCTGGCCTCCTGCCCTCCTCGCCTGGCTGGCCACAGGCTCCTTGTTTCTCTCTTCTCTTGACTATGGGCTTCCTGATGCAGGAGCAGAACATCTAAGGGTACAGGCTCAAGGCCCAGGCTGCACACTTGTTCTGCAGTGGTAACATGGAGGTGACCGTGTGCATCCCTTGGCTGCTGAGGCTGAGCTGAGCTCAACCCTAAGCCTGGCATGGGAGTGTTCCAGGCCAGGGGATGATGGTTCAGACCATGTTTCCAGCCCCCAGTGCCAGGCTCCACTCACAAGGTGCTCCAGAAAGCTGGCTGAGGGGGGGTCATGGGTGTGCCTGAAAGGGTGGATGAGTGAGCCATACTTGGAGGTGGCAGGCAGGGATATGCAGGAGCGGGGGCTGGGGTCCAGCATGGGAGTGGGGTCCTGCTCACCTTCTGGCTGTTGCCCTCGTTGAAGTAGTACTCCCGGGATGGCATGCCCAAGGTGGGCTGGTCTATCTGGAGACACAGAAGCTGTGAGCCTGGCCCTCTCCTCCCCCGAACTGCTTGGAAGGGGCGGGGAGGGGCTGGGGACGCCTCTCCAGCTGGAAAGGGGGGCAGTGGTGGGGTGAGTCCGGTCCCCAGGGCTCCTTAGCTCTGCTCTGTAAGTGCACGACATAGAGGCAACAGGCTGGGTGGGAGGGTGGGTCACCTCCTGCAGGGCCTCGAAGGCTCACATGGGCCTAGAGTGGGGGCATGCCCCCTACGTGGCCTCACATTGGCCTTCTGACAAGGGACCAGAGGAAGTTCCCTCAGGATAGGCTGTCACCCCTGGCACCAAATGCCACTGTTTATCCCTAGAGCCAGGCTCATCACCTGAGGCGCTCTTCCCATGGAGGCAGAGGTGACGGAGAGACAATGCCGACTGGTCAACACAGGCTGGACCAGAGCTCGCCCCGCCCCTTCGGTCCTGCCTCCGCCCCTCTCGCCCCCGCCCTGCCTTTGACGCAGCCTTACGTAGATGATGTGGCGGCTGGAGTTCTGGTCATCATTCCAGATGAAGAGATCGATGAGGACGCGCTTGTTGAACTGAGTGTTCATTACGGCCAGCTGCTTCTCTAGCTTCCACCTGGGACCTGAGGAGTCAGTGTTCCCCGCTGGGGGAGCGGCAGACCCTCCAGGGTCTCTCAGCCCAGCCCTTCCTCGGATGGGGACAACACCGGTGGGTGCTAGACCCCTGGTGCTCAGGGACTCCTGAATGGGTCATGGCTGTGAGTTGAGCGCACCTAGGGGGCTGAAGGGACTTGAGGGCTGCACTTCCCCAAAAAGCCTGCGGGCCACAATTGGGCCCTCTGCATCGTGAGTGCTGGGTGCCTCCACAGGCGTGAGTTGGGGAGGGTGCAGAGCAGAGTGCAGTACTCGTCTGGCCTGTGCCCAGGGGCCTGGATTAGGAGATGAGCCCTTCCCAGTGCTCTAGAAGGGGAGTGCCACAGAGTGGGAGGGACCCACTGCCAGGGGCTCCTATCATCAGTGGGCACAGACGCCCCAGCTCAGCCTAAATCTTTTCCCAGGACCCAGAGGTTGGGCCTCTGGGGGCTCCCAGAGGAGAGGGAGGTCAGCGTGGTCCAGGTGGTCAGCCTGAGCTGGGAGCCAGGAGGGCGCCCTCCTTCACAGACCCTCATCCACTCCTGAGGTCCTCTGCCTGCCCTACTAGAGGTGGTCATGGAGCCTCTGGACTCACCTATGGTCTCATTCCAATCGTCCATGGCTACTGGCCAGCCTCCCATCGCCTCCAAAATTTCCAGCAGTGGCTGGGAGTCTCGCTTCTCGATCATGCCTGAGGAGGAGGTGGCGGTCACTCACCTGGGCCCCTGCGTGTTGCATTCATGCTGTCTTGCACACCCAGCACATCTCCAGCACCCCCCTCATTGACAGGGAGCTGGGGGCTCTGTAGTGCAGGACGCAGCGGGGCCTGGCAGGAGCAGCGCCTGACCTGGACGTGAAATGAGACCAGGAGGGTTGCTAAAGGCACAGAGAGGGCAGGCAGGACATCAGGCCTGTGAAGCCAGAGAGGAGAGGAGGGTGGTGGGTGGTGAAGGGAGCCCCCAAAAGAGGGGCAGCCAGTGAGGCAGCAGAATCTGCTAGGTGATCCTCTAATTGTGGCATGCGGTGCACTAAGCGGGTATCAGGGAAGGGCTGGGGGAAGCATCCTGCAGGGACTTCCGTTCCCAGAAGTGTGATCCGTTAAAAACTTGGGATGGAATTTAAAACTCCGCTTCTCAAATGTAGCGATGGTCTGCCAAAAGACTTAGGAGAGCTTCAGTCAAAAATTAAGCAGAGGTGGGGACGGGGGGAGAGGGGCAGCTGCCTGCACCAGGAAGGGACTGCTCACACTGGAGACTTGACCGTCAGCATCTATGGGAGGCACCCAGCCTGGGGTGCCCAAGTGGAGGTCTCAGTAGGACACCTCCCCCCATAGAACTTGGGGCCCAGAGAGTCCTGATCTCAGGTATACTGGAAATAAACCCACCCTCCTTCAGGGTACAGCTGGAACAACAGCGACTTGACCCCTGGACCAAGTGGGGGAAACGTCTTCACACAGCATCCATGATCGCTGCCTGGGCCTGCAAGCCCTCAAGCAGGAGCCTAAAGGAGTCCCAGGTGGGTGGCGCCCAAGCGGAAAGCAGAGGAGCTAAGGCAAATTCTTCAATAGGAGCCAAAACACCAAAAATCCCTTCCCCCACCACAGTTTTCCAGTGGTCGCTCTGGGCTGGCATCCTTCTCCTGGTGAGCAGATGTGACCTGGGCTGGGTCAGGCGTGGTGGGGGCAGCTGGTAGGAAGTAAGTCTGGGCCTGGAATGGGTCCAGCACAGGGCGCCCTTATCAGAATCCCAAATAACACTTGCTGCCAGGGGACGTGGAGGTGCCCTGGGGACCTGATGCCTGGCTCAGGCCTGGCTGTGACCCCTTCACTCACTCTCGTTCATGCAGGAGCGGTACAGTGTCTTGGCTTTCTGCACGGCCGGCCGGTCCTGGGAAGTGGAGTTCTCCAGCACCCCTGGGGGCCGAGGGGAATGCTGGCTGGCTTGCTGGATAGAGGCCCAGCCCTCTGCCGTGCTCAGCAAGAGGTGGTCCCTGTGAGGCCCTCATGCTAAGAGACCCCCATCCATCTGCATCTCCCTGGACACGGGGAAATGGGGCCCAGGGGGCCCAGGCCTGCCCGCTCACCCAGTCAGCCCAGACTCCCAGACTCCCACTGGCAGGCACCCAGTCTCCCCTCCTCCCCGCCCCCCAGGCCACTCTCCACCTTTGAGGATGACTTCCAGCTCGTCCCGAAGGATGTCAAAGACGCTGTACCGTGAGTTGGTCTCAGGGATCACGTGGTGCTTCAGCCAGCCACCACATGCGTACTGGTAGAAGTCGTCACACGGTTCCTGGGATGGGTCCATGTTCTGGAGAATCCTGGCAGCTGCTCCCCACAGAGGAGGGGGGAGGAAGAGGAGAGATAGATTTGTGGATGCTCCAATAGTCTCTTCCTTTGGAGATGGACTGTTGGATAGCCGACCCTAGCTGTGTGTCCTTGGGAGAGTTCATCATCCCCTCTGAGCCTCAGTGAGATTGAAAGCAAGGAGGGCAGTCACCCAACCTGGAGTCAAGTTCTGGTGATACCACTTAATAAGCATGTAGTCTTTGAGCCATCATGATGTCCCCGAGCCCCAAGTACACTCGCAGTCCTGCTCAAGGACTCAGGTGCAGGTAGAGCTATGCTGGCACACAGGCACACAGAAGCTGCTGGCTCAAGCTTCTGGCTTGGGCCTCTGTTCTCCTGGTCAGCACCTCCCACTGGTCAGTGCATGTGACCTCTTGGTGTGGGATGTGGCTTGTACTACCTCAGGCAGGGTTGTGGGGTGACTTTGCTCTAGGACCCTGGAGTATGCAAGGGACGGCCTGGCCCAGGGGCTTCCAGCTGAATGCTCTCAGCTGGGACCACTGGGGCTGGACCCTCCCCCAGGGCCATCCCTAGAACTCTCCCCAAGACCCTCCACCTGGACCCTCCCTGAGGACCCTCCCTCATATTCGCATTCCATGTTCTCCCAGCCTAAGTTGCCTTTGAGGTTAGGTCTTTGCCAAAAGCGTCACTATGGGCCTCTGTGCCCCCCACAGTGGCAGAAAAGCCACATTTCTGAGCTATTTTCACTAGTTGTGCTTCCTGCCACATCCCCTGGTTTCTCAGCTGCAAAAAGCAGTGCACGGTCTCCATTTGTAAGGCCTAGGCCCAGTGGAAGCTTGAGATCACAGAATACCAACGAGTCTGGAGAAGACTCCAAGGATCTCAGCAATTGCTTCAGTGTAGCTCCCAGGGGTCCTACTCCTGGGGAGGCTGAGGCCAGCTGGTGGGGTGCAGCAGGCAAGAAATGGGGTGAGAGCCTGACTCCTGCCTTGAGGGCTGGCACTGCCTCCTTCCTCCCCTCTTCGTGCTGAGCCCAGGTCCACCCCACCAGGGTCTAGTGGCCACAGGTCTCCCAGTGGCTGTCCTGGCCCTTGTCACTGTCATGTCACAGGCGGCCCAGCCCCTGGGAAGGGCAGTGAAGGCATGAGGCCAGAGTCTTACCTGCTATCACACAGCCGGGGGTGGTGCAGACCTCGCTCATCTCTTGGATGGCTGCAGGCAGGAAGTGGCGTGAGCAGAGACAGGCTGGGCTGGTGGTGCCGGGTAGGGATGGACAGGGCCAGGTGGGCACTGTGTCTCACCCCCTGCTCTGCCCCTGGCACCCAGGCCTGGGGCCTGGAATCATGGGGAGCCTTGTCCTTGCTTGACACCTGCAGCCTAGAGCCCCTCCCCACCTTCTGCCTCCCTGATTCCCAGCTGTCTCTTGAGAGCTGAAACTGGGTATTCTGTCCTCCCTCGCTCTTGCCCAGCCAGATCTTAGTCAGGGGCCAGCATCTCCAGGAAGCCTCCCTGGGCTTTCTTCTCTGTACCCCCGTGGTCCAGTCTGCTGCCTGCTGGTTTTACAGTCACTGCCTGAAGACTGGGACGGAGCAGAGCCTCCCACTGGTGTCCTGTCTGTTCCCTCTTCCTGGGGGGTGCTCTGGGTGCCGGGTGATGGGTTGCGGAGTAGCTCTGCCAGGTGCCCTGTCCCTCCACAGATCCCACCCACAGGAAGGCCGAGTTTCCAGCCCATGGCTTGGGCCCACGTTCTGGTGGGGCGGGAAGGCTACCTCGGGGTTTCCGCTCTACACTGGTCCTCTTGTCCTTTGAGAAACAAAGCAGACTAGTAAAAGGCAGCAGCCGCTTCCCTGGGGAGAGACAGAACACTTGCTCGGCTGCCCGCCAACCTGCCACCCCTGGGACAGTACCGTCTTCCTACATTCAGGGTCCCAGGGTCCTTGGCGGCTCCCTGCTGGACTGGGGTCTGCATGCAGCCCCCTGCTGTTCCCCTGAAGTGAGTGCTGGTCACCATGGCACGAAGATGCAGGAACTTAGGCATCTCTATTTCCTGGTTCCCATGTCTATGCTTCCTGAAGGGCCTGATTGGGTGGGTAGGGAAGTTGGTGTTGGGGGGGGGAGAGCTTACCCTGGCTTGCTAGCTCCACCTCGTCCTGCCCTCCCACTGCACCCCTAGACTCCACCCACCCACTGGGTCCCAGAGGGCTCCTGAAGAAGCCCCCTTGACTTCCTCTTCTCCCTGGGGTGTTCACCTTGAACACCAGGGCTGCAGTCCAGACCCATACAATGGGTCCTACCAGGGCAGAACAGCGGGGTCCATTGGAGGGGGTGGTGTGAATCTACCCTGGAGATTTTTTTTGTCCCATTAATGACTCTTAGCCCAATCCTTCCACTTTCACTGTTTATGGAAGGTGCAAAGAGACCCTACTCCATCCCCCCAGCTACACCCTGAGGTGGCTGCCTGGTCAGCCGCCCATCTTCTGGGGTGGGCTGTGAACTCTTCCCAGAGAAATGCACTGGGGAGAAGGGAAGGAGAACACCAAGTTCAAGGAGAGGGCAAGTTGGGCCTGGACACCTGCAGAGCTGGCTGGTGGCTGAATTTCCCACCAGAGGAGGCACACAGAGACCTGGTAGGAGGGACTGGGTATTGTTTCAGTCAGGGCTATAGGGCAGGGTGAGCACCTAGCTCCACCCCTGGGCACACAGACTATAGAGAGGGTGCTGGAAGCCACGTCCGTGTTGTGAGCTCTGGGGGCTTCTGGCCATTCAAAAGGTGAGTGAGGGGAGATGTTCTCTCCCACCTGTTAGCTACTGTTCTTTCCATCATCCTGTTATTTATCCACCAACCCAACATCTTTTAGTACTTTTAGCAAGCCAGACTCAGCACAGGCCACTGGAGATGCAGATGTGAGTCCCACAGGGTCCCTGGCCTTGAGGAGCCCACTGGTGGGAACACAGATGGGAAGAGAACAAGCTGTGCTTCAGGGAGCATGCACTGTGGCGAACTTTTCTTAGAGGCAAAGCTAGCTTCAGAGAAAAGGATAATCCCCACAGTCCAGAAGCCGAAATGAAGTGCTGAGTGGGGGCTTAAATCACAGCTACTCCAGGCTCAGTCATCCAGAGCCTTGGGACTAGTGGCCAGACCTTGGGCCTCAGTGAGCCCTCCCTCCCTCCTTTCCAGCCAGATCTCAGTCAGTCAGGGGCCAGCACCTCCAGGAAGCCTCCCTGGGCTTTCTTCTCTGTACACCCCTGGCCCAGTCTGCTGCCTGCTGGTTTTACGGTGAGCCCCACCAAATAGCTGACTAATGGATCATCTTCCCTCCTGAAAAATACATTACAAGAAGGGATTTCTCCTTCTGATTGGGATGTAGAAAGTCCCAACAGACTCTTTTCTCCCACTAAAACAAAAATTTGATTTAATATTTTTCATCCATGCTTTGTAGTTTTCATATATACACATTTTAATGGATTGGAAAACTCATATTGTTGATATATCAGTTTTTTCCCCAATGTGATCTATAGATTCAACTCGATCTCAATCAAAATTCTAGCAAGCTATTTGGTAGACATCCACACACTGATTCTAAGGTGTATACGAAAAAGCACAAGACCCAGAGTAGCCAGTACAATGCTGAAGGTTGGAGAACAAACATGACCTCATTTCAAACCTTACTATAAAGCTTCAGGAATCAGTGCAGCAGGGCATTGAAAGGCTAGCGACATAGATCAGTGTAACAACAGAGAGCCCAAAAACAGACTGCTACAAATATAACCAACTGACCTTTAGCAAGGGAGTGAAGGCAATCCAATAGAGAAAGCATAGTCTTTTCAACAAATGGAAAACGTGTTATTCATCCATGTGCCAACGAAATGAACCTTGACACAGATCTTGTACCTTAAACAAAAATGAACTCAAAATGGATCACAGATCTAAATGTAAAATTCAAAACTATAAAACTTCAATCCACTCTTATGCATGGGCAGTGAATAAGGAAGACCAAAGAAGATTTAAAGCTTTTGAGTTGTGGTCTGTCGTGGAAGAAGTGCAGCTGGAATGCTCCTTGGAAGCGAGAATGGCCAGACTTCATCTCATGTACTTTGTTTGTGTTTCTGAACATGACCTTCCCTGGAGAAGGATATTATGTTTAGTAAAGTGGAGGGTCAATGAAAAAAGGGAAAGCCCTCAAGAAGATGGATTGACACAGTGGCTGCAATGATGGGCTCAGGGATAGCAGAGATTGTGGAGCTGGCACAGGACTGGCCAGTGTTTCATTCTGTTGTGCATGAGGTCACTATGAGTTGGAGATGACTTGACAGCACCTAACAACAACAACATAAAACTTCTTGAAGGAAACATAAGATGAAACATACATGACCTTGGGTTTGGTGATAAGCTTAACATGATCCAAGAAAGAAAACTGATACAATGGACTTTATTAAAATGGAAAACTGTGAAAGACACTCTTAAGAGAATGAAAAGACAAGGCACAGAGTAGGAGAAAATATATGCAAAACACATACCTGAAAAGTTTTGTATCCAAAATATATAAAGAACCCTTAAAATTCAACAATAAGAAAACAAACAACCCAATTTAGAAATAGGTGAAAGACCTGAACAGACATTGCACCAAAGAAAATGTACAGTTAGAAAAGAAGCATATGAAAAATGCTCAATGACATTTTTCATTAGGGCATTGAAAATTAAAAAAATAATGAAACACCACTACACCCATAGTTAAACCAAATCAAACTCACTGCCGTCGAGTCGGGTCCAACTCATAGCGACACCTCCTTGGGTTTCCGAGGTGGTATCACTTCGGAAGTAGATTGACCAACTTTCCTTCCAAGAAGTGGCTGGTGGGTTTGAACCAGTCAGATGCCTTAGGCACTGTGCCACCAGAGCTCCTACACACCTAGTTAGAATGCTTAAGGACAAACAAGCAAAAAAACTGACTATACCAACTATTGGCTAGGATGTGGAGCAAGGGGAAATCTCATTCATTGCTGATGGGAATGCAAAATGGTGCAACCTTGGAATGCATTTTGACAGTTTCTTACAAAAGTAAATAAAGTCTTACCATACAATCCAGCAATCTTGCTCTTAGGTATTTACTAAACTGATTTGAAGATTTATGTCCACAGAAAAGCCTGCCTGTTAATGTATACAACAACTTAATCCATAATTTCCAAAAGCTAGAAGCTACCAAGATATTCTTCAATATGTGAATGGATACACAAACTATGTTACATCCATATAATGGAATATTATTCAGCAATTTAAAGAAATGAGCTATCAAGCTGTGAAAAGACAAGGATGAATCTTTAATGCATATTGCTAAGTGAAAGAAGTCAGTCTAAAAAAGATACATACTGTATGATTCTAATTATATGACATTATGGAAAAGGAAAAACTATGTTTTACTGAATGTAGAAAATATTCTGTATGATAAAGTAATGGTGAACGTAAGATATGAAGCATTTGCCAAAATCTATAGAAGTTTACAGTGCAAACCTTTAGTGTATACAAATTTAAAAAATCATTTAGGAAGTCAGAGGATCAGAAGGGAATGCAGAATGAGAATCTAAGTGTATTACAAATGTATGAAACAACCTTACTGAAAGTGGTTGGGAATAAGGTGCTGGCCTAGGTACCTTGGAAATGAGTGGAGTGTGTAAGACTAAAGGCAAAAAGAACTGCACATAAGTGCTATATTCTAATTCATAAAGTTATTCCCCAAGGGGGGGTTACAGTTATGAAATCATTTATACATGTACATGTATATAGGAGCTCTGGTGGCATCATGCCTAAGGCATTTTACTGCTAACCAGAAGGCTGGCAGTTCAACCCCCCGACCCCCCCAGCCACTCCTCGGAAGGAAGGTTAGGCAATCTACTTCCTTAGTGATACCACTTTGGAAACCCAAGGAGGGGTCACTATGAGTCGGATCCCACTCAACAGCAGTGAGTACATATGTATATTGGATTTGAAGAAGTAAGTAAATAGATGGAAATGGTGAAAGCCAGGTTTATCACTGTTAGAGTGAGAGGTTACAGACAGACAAGGGGAGAAAGCTAGAATGATCCATGCAGTAATGGAATAGAGTTGAAGATAAAATGAATAAATTCACTGCCGTCGAGTCAGATCCAACTCATAGGGACCCCTCCTTGGATTTCTGAGGTGGTACCACTATGGAAGTAGATTGCCCAACCTTCCTTCCGAGGAGTGGCTGGTGGATTTGAACTGCCAACCTTCTGGTTAGTAGTCAAATGCCTTAGGCACTATGCCACCAGAGCTCCCAGAGTTGGAGATACCACTATTAATTCATGTTTAGCTTTATATAGACATAGATGGTAGCATATAGAGCTATTAATAGATACGTGTATACATATAGGTTAGTACACACAGCTATGTATTTCTTTGCTCTGTGAGCTGAGAGGACTTACAAGCAACACCACCTAGCTAGCACCCAGATCTTGGTGTCTAATATCATTCTCCAATAAAAAGACCTTCAGGGCTCCTTGAAGAAATGGTTGATTGTACAATTGGGACAGGAGATATGTAATATTAGCCTGGAGTTCCAGAAAGTAAGTAAGTGCTAAAAGAAAAAAGAACAACAACACAACATCCCACAATGACAGGTGTGTGCCAAAGGGGCACAGGAACCCACTGAAAGAACTCCCAGTGGTTGAAGTCACAACAATCTGAACAACAAAGTAGCACTGGATTATATCCCACACTATAAAATAAATCCATGCTGCTATAAATCATTGAGTAAGTAAATACACGAAGGAAAAGAGAGAAATCTCTGGTGCCGAAAATGCCACATAATTTATATGGATGCTTCACCCT